AATSTTTTTGAAAAACACAAGAAATGGCTCAAATTCTGGTAATTGTACAGTTATCGTTATAAAATTTTGAAAGTGAAAGAAGTTGAGAACTACCACATACTCCGAGCTCTAACAGATTGCTAACAAACTCTAAGATAATTGTTTACATTTTATACACCGATTATTTGGATTTGAGTGTCTATGTCAGTTAGCAAAATATCTTGTGGACTACCAAACTGATATGAAAGAAACTCATAAAGATTAAACACTGGACTGATGTATTGTAACTAATTAACCTCTGGAAATTGTTCATTTCAAGATGGCTGTCACAGCCAACTGATCTTAAAAACAATAAAATGTCTCTTAATCTGCCACTAAAGATGATGTGGTAGTAACTGAGAGTCACTCATAGCACATACTCTGAGACTCACAATATTGCATGAACCTGTGCAGAAATTTTATTTTTATTTTTAACCAAAATTGCTACAACTCATTTCTCAAAGTGAGCTGTTCTTTGTCTAAAACGTGAGTGAGATGCATTCCTCCAAAAAATGGTTAATATTTTATTTAGAAACTCATAGGCTTACTTTGCTGTAAATTTGATATTATTTTCTATGCTGTGTTTGTTTGCAAACCACAATGAAACATTTAAATCTTTGTGTTTTATAAATACACAAATCCACTTTAGTCTTGCCCCCACTTGAACTAGCCATTAGCTCATCAATCTGGTCAGAAAGAAGCTCTGTTCAAAGAGCTATCCTCAACAGGTAAGACAATAACTGTCTATAGCATTTTTCTAGAACCCTGCATCTAAAGATGTGAGCTATCCCTATCCCTTATAGATTCCTGAGCAGAAAAAAATGAACATATCATTGCTCTCCTTGCTGGTAGGAAGATGACATTAGTACAATAGTTTATAACCATAATCAAGTTGGAAAAAGCAAGGGTTGCTGGTGTTTTTCCTCAGTCCCCCTCAAATTTATAAATCCCTTGACTCTGGCTGTAGACATCAGTAACAGGTTATTCATGCTGATGAGAGAAAATTAAAGAGAGCTTAATGGGACATTCAGACAGTAATAAAGCATGCAGACAGCTGCTGAAGTCTGGATGCACAGTGCTTGTTAATGTGCAGATACGCTGGGTGAGTGTGACGATGTGTTACAGCTGAAAGGAAAACACAGAGTGAACACTGCTCAAGGGATGCAAGTGGGAATTTTAGAGTTTTTGACAATACCAGTCATACAGATATAACAAGTTACTGAAAAGATTGTTAACTCTGGCGATCTTCCAACCAAGAAGCAGCTTTGATGATAACAGAGGGAGGAGAGAGAAAGGCAGGAAATTAATGTTGAGAGGTGGTGAAAGAAAAAAGAAGGGAGAGACGTAAAGAAGAGGGAAAGCGAGGCGGGCATCACGGCTATCTGCTTTTAATTCATGTTCCTATGGATGGCGAAGTAAATGAGTTAAAGTGGCAATGATTAAAAGCGACAGGATGAAGAGGGGAAATTAGGTTTTCGTTTTTGGCTTCATAGCTTCGGTTAAAGTAAACTGACAGAAGAAAAGAAAACCAGATAATTAAGACAAATACATGACCTAACCTTTTAAAATACATGTACGGTGCACCGGCTAATTAAAAAAATACAGCATATAGAAAGAATTTAAGAGTTTTACAAAAACTCCCGAAAATTTAGTTCAACTGGAGTGAACTTAATTAAAATTAAAAATATACAAGCTAAACCTATCAAACGTACAACTTATTGCTTAAGTTTGCAAGCAGTACTTAACATTAAGACAATTAAAACAGTAACTAAAACATGCAGAAAAGTAGCTAAAAGCTAAAACTAGCTAAACAACAACAAATGCTACGAAGCTAAAGTTTGTAAAACAGCGGCTAGAATCTAAGCAAATAGTAGATATAACTAAGATCATCAAAACAGTAACCAGACCTTAAAACCTTCAAATAAGTAGCTGAAATCTAAAATTTGCAAAACAATAGAAAAAAAGGTAAGACCATAAAAATAAGAGCTAAAAGCTAAAATTTGCAAAACAGTGGCTAAAAGCTAACACTAGAAAAACAGTAGGTAAAGCTTAGCCTTTCAAAGCAGTAGCTACATCTTAACCTGCAGAAAGTAACTGAAAGCTCAAGTTAGCATAAAACTAAGACCAGAAAAGCAGTTGATAAAAGCTAAAATGGACAATAATTGCTAAAAGTTGAAATTAGTCAAATTGCAGCAAAAAGCTAAGACTAGAGAAAGGATAGTTAAAAACTAAAAATTGCAAAAAGGCTAAAAGTAGCTAAACAGTAGTTACAAATGGCTAAATWAGCACATCAATAACTACAAATTTAAACTATAATAATAAGCTACATTACAAAAGAGTAGCTAAATATTGAGTAAATGTGCTGAAGTGTGTTGCAAAGAGAACAGGCTTTTCATTGACAAATGATTTTCCATTTATTTAAGCATATATTAAATTGGTAATAAAATCAATTATTTCATATGAAAGTTACCCAAGTTAAAACCAAAAGTTGTAGTTGTAATGCCCCAATTGAGCAGAACATATTAATAAAAAAAATGGTTGAAATAGCTAAAACAGTCTATGGCTGCAGTTCAAAAAAAAACTCAAGTAAGAAGCAGGAAATATTCTTGAGCTTTATACAGTAGCTATATCTATTATATTATTTTGTGAACCAGCACTCTAGAGAAATGTTCAGCTCGCCAAAGGGGTGCCTACTCAGTCAATATTTACCATTTTTAACATTTACAGCTGAGATGAAAAAAAGAATTAATAATCCATGGCTGTCTCCTCAGTTGAAGCAAAGTCACAGTGGAAGGAATTCAAAAAGGATATATTTTTCAGAAACTATTGATTCACCTTCTTTCTTTTTGGAAGTATATATATATATATATATAGATATATAGAGAGAGATAGACTTTAACTACTGCTCAGGAATCCCATCACTTTTAAACAGCTACAGCCTTTTCTTCTTTGGCCAGACTTGAAGTTATCCCGAACATCACTCAAACCCACCAATAGATTTATGAGATGCTCAAACAAACCCAATTAATATCCATGTCTTGTTAGAGAAAAAGCTCTCCAAGCCTCCTGGCAGATCATTATTCACCTGCTTGGAGTAAAACAGATAGTGTCTTGAATAATAAGTAAAAAATCAGTTTGTAATCAGTTTAGCGCACAACTCTGCTCGCCTGCTCTGACAGCTAACCTCGGCGAGCGGAGCTCCGCAGGAGTGTTTGATCTCTGTCTGGATGATGACAACAAGATGCTGCAGATGACCACGAGAACATTAATGAAGCCGTGAGAGCGAGCTGGAAGCTTTTCATTTGCTTTATTCCAGTTTCCGGCACCTAATTTCCATGATTCACCAACAGAATGGGGTGACAAACTTCCTCTGTTTTCTAGAGAACAGAGCGAGGTGTTTATTTMTTTATTTATTTATTTATTTATTTATTTATTTATTTATTTATTTATTTATTTATTTTGAATTTTTATTTCCCTCTGCAGAATAATAAATCAAGCAGTTTAAGCATTGAGTCAGGTGAGATAAACTGATCTTCCTCTGCATAAAAGTAAAGGCAATAGTGTTTTTGCCTCTGTTTTTGTGGATATGTATGATAGTCTGGTTGTTAGCAAAATATCCCATTAAATGGACTGTAGTAAAACTCTCAGGAATCATTAGAAATMCAGCAACAAGTCATACCTTTTGGAGTCAACCCAACTCAACAGGGCGACTACAGGTAACCTACTTTAAAAAGACTTATGTTCTTTAAAACAGGCATCTAAAAAACTGGGGGAAAAACTGATCTTGATTCAGAAGTTCTGGCCAATTATAGACCTTTATCTAATCTTGTTACACCAGAGTTAGTCATGGAGTTCCTCAGAGTTGAGTTACTGGACCAATACATTTTTACTTTATATATGCTTCCATTAGGTAAAGTTATTAAACAGCATGGGGTAAATTTCCATTGTTATGCTGATGATACTCAGTTATATTTATTCATGAAACCTGATGAATCCAATCAATTACTTGAACAAAAGCATGTTATAAAGACATAAAAACCTGGATGACAGAATATTCTGCTTCTAAACTCGGATAAGACAGGGGTCATGGTTTTTGGGTATGAACATATTAGGAATAAACTTTGCAGCCTTTCACTTCCAYTGGATGGCATTACCTTCTTCCACCTGCCTAATATCACTAAAATTAGAAACATCTTGTCCAAAAACTATGCAGAAAAACTGAGCCATGAATTTATCACGTCTAGGCTGGACTACTGTAAATACTTATTATCAGAGCATCCAAAAAATTATTTATAGTCTTCAGTTGATCTAATGCTGCTGCTAGATTTCTAACTAATGCTCATTTATAAATCACTGCAGTTCTTATAACTAAACACAACTAAAAACTGCAGGAGCCCCAAAACTCAGAACTGTAATAAGGTGTAAAAAATGAAACAATGAAGACTGCAACATATAAAACTGAATGAAGACATCACAAACACCCAACAGTAAAAGGGAGAGACTTTAAATTTGATATTTTAAATGCTCTGGTTTTTCAGTCAAACAGCAACATGCAGAATGAGAAGACTTACATTTTACTAAGCCCTGCCACTAATCTCCTATCTTCATCCACTGATACAGCCCAGGACCCCCCCCCTCCCCCCACCTTCCCCCTCCCCTCTCTGAAAAATAATAAGTCACAGGTGACTTGATTTGATTCATGTCAACCTTGATGGCTGACACTCTTCAGGCAGTCTGTAATATCATCATACAAATGTTCTATTGCATTTCTCAGAAAGACCACTGTGATATTTTCAGAGAAATGCCATAATCCCCCCTGCATCCCCCCTGCCTCTCACTGCCCCTGATATGGTTTTAGTTTTGATGCTGCCGGATTAGTGTAAGAATTAGGGAAGATGACTAATACTGTCAGTGGCCCTTTACTGAAATGACAGAGTTAGTTTTTTTCTGTGCTTGAACCCTTTCACATCTTTGCTGGTTACCTGAGAGTGAAGTTGGTCAGCTGGGCAGAGCTGGCCATCAGTATGTAGAAAGTGGCAATGTCCGTTTTCTTCAGAGGTTTGGAGGATGTACGGATGACGATGGCATTACCGAGTTTGAGCCGAGATAGCGTCGCCATTCCCTTGGGTACCTGCAGGAGACGCACACTTCCAATCCTCTGCATGGGAGTGACGGGAACATTTTCAGTCTGCTGCTGCTGCTGCTGCTGGGAACCACTCCATCGACTTCCATTCACAGAACTACATCTCTCGTTGACTCTGGGCTGAGCCTGGTAGTACAGCTCCACCGGGTTCCCCACAGTTGGATCTTGCCGTTCCCTGCTGGTGCCCTCTGACCCCAGTGCGAACCAGCCTGGCACTGGAACAAGTTCAGCCATGCAGGTTCCGCTCTCCACTCCGATGTTGCAGGAAGCCCTCACCTCCTGAGTTTGCCAGAAACCATACACTGTCACACACGGCAGCTCGTCCACTGCTCCCTCTTTGCTCCAATCCCTGCCTGCAACGTAGAAGAGGACGCGCACTTTGGGTTTGGAGGAGAAAACCCGAGGCGTCAGCACAAAGGCCTGGATTTTCCAGTTGAACGTAAAGACGTCCGGAGTGTTGAGGAGCTGCACGGGCTGCACCAGATCCAGTGGCACAGACCTCTCTGTAGACATGGCTCCATAGCTGGCACTGACAACTGGCTGGCGGCTGGCTCTTAAAATAACAAAGGGCTGCGTGTGACTCTGCATGCTGGAGTTCCTCATGAAGTCCTGGCCGGCCTCCTTAAGGAAGAGGTAGTCAGCATCCCGGACCTCGTAGTTGACGGGCAGGAAGACAGGGAAAGGCACAGGGCTCCTGCTGTCAGTCATTTCTTTACTGCTCACATCTGTGGGATGAAAATATCAAATGAAAATAAGCTCCAGGAACATCTAATAACTGCATAACTAAGACACACTTCTCAAAAAAAGAACATGACTGAAGACTTTCGTTCTCGTCAACATCTGTTTTAAAAATTCTGACTGTACTTCAGCACAGGGACAATCTGAGGACAACTGATCAGCTAAGTAGGGCATCAAAGAATTAAAAAAAGGCTTCTGAGCTTAACCTTAAGCTGTCTCATTTACAAAGAMTGGAAATATAATATGAACTAGTTAAACTTTGGGTCTCATTCTGGATGTCAATATCCTAATGGAGTTTCCAAAAGTTCAGCTCAAGTGAACATTTTATTGAGATCATCAGATAAAAAGCAGAACTGCCCACATGGTAAAACTGGTCTGGCCCAGTTTGGCCCACGTGTCCATACCTGAGCAGCAACTCTTGGCTCAGATACTACAAAGAATCTTTAGGTGGCCCAGGTGCAGTTTGCTGGAGGTGGTCCATGCACGGACCAGCAGCTACAATAAATAGGCTAACTGATAAATCTGGACCACATATGCCAAACCACAGTGAGGCCATCTTAAAATCAGTGCCACCACTTGAAACCCCTTGATCTGATCTGGTGCCAACTTGAAACCAGATCTGGCCCACAGCTGTCTGCTATGTGTGTGTGGTCTGTGGTTTTTGGAGAAGTGAAGGTCTGACTCTTAATGTGCCTGAAAACTAAGATTATCATGTTAATCTGATATGAAAAAAAAGAAAATAAAATCTAAATATCAAATTATCCAATTATCAGTAAAAGATTAAAATGAACTGTTTGTTTAAATCAGCCGTGGCAACATTTTTATTTCAAAAACATGTTATTTAAGTTGGTTTTATAACAATTGATATCCAAAAATTAACCTTTGTTTGTTTGACACTAGATAAATAAACGTTAGCCTTTCAATGGTTTTCTTGCGATAAGAACTGCAGTGATTTATAAATGAGCGTTTTGTTAATCTGATGACACTTGATTTTAGGTTTCATCATCCCAGAAGTGCTGGAGAGGGCCCATCAATTCACAGACAAAGCATAAATGTCTGGTTCTGCTGCAGCCGTGTTATTAGAGTATTTGTCTTATTGTAGCCAATGTCCAACCCTGCTTCTGTCGAAGATTTGCTCCAAAAACCACAGAGCTGCCAAGAAAATTAATCTATTACCACAAGAAAAAAAAAATAAATCAGTAATCAGATAGAATTCAAATGTCTTTTATTTTCGTAAAGAAACTCATTTTTCATTATTTTCTGTAATGATCAGGACGATGAGTTGAAAGATAAGAGGCTGGCTCTTAAAAACGGCATGAAAATGACTTTTCGTGTAAAAATGTGATCTTTTTTCTGTCATTAAGGTTGTATAAATTGCCTTTTAATCACTTAAAATCTGTTTTGAGATCCATTTTTAAAGGTAAGATCAGCTGAGGAAAGAGTGAACTGGTTAAGAATGAATAAATACAAATTAAAAACCATAATCCCTCAGAGCGTTTATATAAAACTATTGGCTCCACCAAGCATTTTATTACATTTTTAAACTTGTCTGATAGTAACCATCTGATACTAATCATCACCAGAACTCAATGCATCAGAGATGCAGTAGAACTGTCTGTGAAAAAAGATCCCAAAGTGTTGTTTATTCCTAAATTATTAATTGTTATTCATCCCAGTTATGATGGATTGAAGCTTCTTTTTGTTTTTGTTCTTTTCTTTTTTACATTTCATTTCAGGATCATTGATCTTGTCCCCTCATGACTGCTGGCATTTGGTAAGTCTCTCTACCATCCGTCTATCTTTTCTGCCTTTCATCTTGATTCAGTCCAGCCGAAAGCCTGTGGAGAAGCCCTAACCACTCACACAGCTGCATGTCGGAGCAATCCCAACCCTGTGGATCTCACTGGAAGACGGCAGCATGTGTCCTTTTCCTCCCTGCCCACGCAGACTGGAGCGTCACTCACGCTCCGCTCTGGATGGAGACAGGCTCCGGGCTGTCCTGGGTTCACCTGCCTGAGGAGAGGGTGACTGACGTGCTGTTTGACACCAGAGCTCACGCTATAAGTCTGATATAACCCAGTTTACTTTGGAAAAACAAAAAATCTGTGAGTCTTATGAACGGGTTTTATGGGTCACTTGTCCTCCTCGTCTTACTTCAGATGATTTCCATTCGTCCAAACTTGAAGGACGGTGCTTTAATGAATCACATAATCTGTCTGGCTGCGGGATGAGATGAACCCTTCTCTACCAACGGCAAGCAATAAGAGCAAAAAAACTTTTATCGTGATGAGAGTCTTTGCCCTCAGCTGATAAACAGGAGAGCAAATCTGTTGCACCAGCTACTGCAGCTGTTCAAGCCTCACAAATCTTTCATAGTTCTGAAAACCGGAGCATCTACTCCTCCTCAAACAAGTCCCAAAGCATCAAATGCCATCTCTTGAAAAGAACGTTTTGTGTTTTGCGTTGTTGCCGTGTCACATTATGTCAACTGACCTTTTTTAACAGCAAAAAAAACCAAAAACAAGACAAAGCACTTACGTCGTGGCAGCATTTTTTTTTTTGATACAATCTTTGATTATCGTTCCCAGCCCTTAAATTTAATTAAAGAGTTAGAGGCTGCAGTAAGTGCTGCAGTCTTTAATCCTGAGGCTGTGGGTTTGATCCCATGTTGTGCAACAACTGGCAAATATTTCATGCAAGTTTGCTTTCTCTGGTGACCCCAGCAGAAGGGAGCACCTTATAGGACAGAACATTTGATTTACGAGTTTTTGTCTTTTTCTACATACTTGGAACAGCAAGCTAACATACAGTATAAACTTCCTTAAAATGTTTTAAATATTTTAATGAGTTTTGCTTAAGTTTACTTAGCTGTGGACATCTCAAATTGTGTCAACTTCAAAGCTTGCATAGATGTCAAGAATTACTTTCTAAGGGTTTTGTTCAAATTTGGCTAGTTCATAAAGACACGTGGCCTTTTAGCAGCAAGTGCTGCTAAAAATGAAGTCAAATCCATCCATAAACCTTTATTAGCTCTGCTTTTCAGGGTCACTGGTGCTCATATCCAGCAGTCACTGTGTGTGCCCATGTTTTTGCTACTTGATASGGATGATTTTTCAGGAAAATGCAGCCTCGTGGGGACCGGATGCTCTTTGTGGAGTTAGGGCCACGGTGTGAATTGAGTTTAAGTTGGTTTCAGAGTCAGGTAGGTACCTGTGAGGTTAATTTTAGAGTAAGTGGTCAGGGTTAAGGTATAAAATTACCAAGAAAATAATAGAAGTCAATGGAAAGTGCCCACAAGGATAGAGAAACATGGTATGTGTGTGTGTGTTTTTGTGTGCGTGTGTTGGGGGGGGGGGGTTTGTCACGCTTTCACTCACACAATTTCAAGTTACCAATTAGCCCAACAGATGAGTTTGTGGTCTGTGGAAGGAAACCAGAGTACACGGAGGAAACCCACTCCTGCACAGAGAGAACATGCAAACTCTACCCAGAGAGGTCCCTGGCAGGGATTCAGTCCAGCAGCTTTCTTGCTGAGCTGCAACAGCAACTCTACCAACTGAGCCGCCGTGAGGCCCTTGAAGTGAAATTACTTGTTCAAATGTTCAACACAACCCCGTTTTTAAAAAGAGTTTGTCAATTTCCTCACCTCATATCCACATATCTCAGCTATTCACAATGGAACAAAGTAAGCACATTTGAATTACAAAGCATACTGTTATACAAGCTGTACATAAGATACAAGTAATTTATCAATTTAAAGGGAACATATGATGCAAAATGCAAGTGTTTTTTTAGCTGATAAATGCATTGTGTTGTGTACTTGGAGTCTCTAAAAGTGCATACATTTTAAATGTCTCTTTTCTGATCCTGCGATTTTATACTGAGTCATATTTTTCTACCTGTTTTCTTTATTTTCTAATAAAGACAAGTTTTCTGTTGTTGACATATTTGAATTAACTTGTAAGTAAAAAGTTTCTGCGCCTTTATACAGTCATAAATTCCTCTATCAAAGTACAATGGAGCAGTCTGGAAGCAGGGGTGGGGTGTGAAGCACCTCGTTTGGATTTAAAGAGACAGCCTCAAAACGAGTTGATCTGAGACACACCTCAGAGCATGGGGTGGAAAGAAGGGCAGAGCTACAAAAATAAGGAATTCAGACTAAAGCATTGCAGTTATATTTTATATAGACCCCAACTGAATGATTTAATGATTTAGGGGGAAAAGAAGGATTTAAAAGCAGGATATGTCTCCTTTGATGGCAGCAACGTATCTCTAGACAGATGAGAGGGTCATGTTCATCCCCTCTTCTTTTAGCAACAGTCTGTAAACATCTAAGACCTGAGGAGGCTGGAGTTTTTAAAGGAAAATGTCCTATATCTGTCTGATGAAGCTGTTCAACAGTGTTGGGTTTTTTCTTTAGCTGGATTATTATTTTTTTTTTTTTGAGGATCTGGACTGTAGGCGGGTCAGTTCAGCACCTGAACTCTAACATAGATATTTTATAAAGACATGTATTGGGTGTAGTATGTCTTTTAGCTTTGTCTTGCAGATATGCAATAAGATTAAGACACAAATAAGATACATCTGGAAAAAAAACATTTGTACTATAACTTTATAAGAATTGCAAATCACTACAGTTATTTTGTTTAATTTTACACAGTGGCTTAACTTTTCCCAAATTGGTGTTGCACCTTAAATGAGGTTATGTTCAAATAAAGTTATGTGTTTGAACACAATGTTTCTTTATTTCAGCTTGAAACACATAAAACATGTTTATATCAAAATCGTGTTATTCTGTTTACAGTTTGTCACTTGCCTTCAACCTTTTCCGTGTGTTTACCTTGAAGTGTCGTGTTCCTTCAACTGTAATCAATCTTTGCATTATTCTATTAAAATGCACAAAGTCCCACACATCCAAAGTGAATTCTAATGTGCACTAATGGCTTTTACCATATGTGCAACACAGCTTTACATTCCCAGTGGCATCACAGAAGGCAACGGGTGTCTGCATTTTAATTAGTGATCAAGAGATGAAAAGATCTGCTTTTTACATCAAAGTTTGTCTTTCATCCTGCTCTTACAGGTGCTGTTTTCAGACCAAATGTTGGTCAAATGGATTTGCTTCTGAGTCATACTTTGAAATATGATGCTAACAACGCTAATTGGGCACCTGTGGCAGAGAGGATTTTTTATCTTGTTTTCGAGCTGTGTGTTTTTAATCTTTTGACCGTGCTTGCTGACCTTTGAGGCGCATCTACATTTAATCGAGCATTACATTTATTTATTTATTTTTTCATTATTAGTAGGTTCTGAAAGCTTGCCAATGATGAGGTCCTTAAGTACAAGGATTCGTATTGATGTTGTTTGTGGAACACTTAAGGCATCCACTTGGGAGATAAACAGCAGTGCATGACAGAGGAAGAGAAAGCTGTTAGTGCGCGYCATGAATTTTGTAAAATGTTGCAGAAAGTTCAAGCGTTGTTGTTAATTATCAGAGGGCATCAGAAGCAGAAAGCGCTTTGATCAGGAGACATCGGACAACGTGACTCAGCATGTAATTTAAGCCTTCTCAAAGGTGAGAACACAAATTTACTCATATCTATGCTTGACTTGTGCTCAAATAAAAAAAAATAAAATGAGGAAAACACTACAGTAGGTGTGTGTTTCTGCTTTGTGGTCAGGGCTCTGAATAATGAATGAATAGCTGCAGAAAGAGGCCTCACCAAACTCAAAGTGACACTACAAAACTTTTTTTATCAGTCAGATCATTCATTGCAGGCAAATACGTCTTTGTCTTGTGTTTTTTTAATGCACTCATGTGCAACATTGATGGATAATAAGGCTCTGGAGCACAGGGGAGACAGAGCAGTGAAGATAAGGGAGAGAAAAGACAGAGATTGAGCTTAAGCTTCTGTGATTGGTAAGGGATTGCTACTTCCAATGAAACTCCTAAAGCAGCTTTAAAAATCACTTTTTATCACAATTTCTTAGTTTTTGTCATCCTATTAAAAAGTAAGCATTCCCCAGAACTGGCCATCTAAGAGGCAGCTTTACAGTTAATGCCTTTGTGATGTCCTTCTTTCTCCTCCTCCTCCTCCTCTTCTCTCTTCCTTTTTCATTATCAAGTCAGTAATATAAATTGTCTGCTTTTTGTTTTGCAGTGTGTGAAAAGGAGGTTCCAGTATAAACAATGCACACAGCATTAAGGYTTGACTTATCTTTGATTACAAAGCCCATAATGTCCTTTTTAACTCACCGTCAACKTCACCTCTAAATGTTTAATAACCTGCTCACTTCTCTGACATCCCTTTTTGCCTGAAGTAAAACACATAATTATGCTCAGTTTTAGGCTGAATTTCTGTGGAGTGAGATGAAAGTTTGTGACGCAGACGAGGACATTTATTTATTATTTAGACTTGCTTTAAGATGCTTGCTGGGGTGTGGGGAATGGTTTGGCTGAGAGAAAGCCAACATTCTAACAGGATCGTAGAAAATGAAAAAGTTCAGCTCATTTTCATTATCATTAAAGGAAAAGTGGACCCAGTTCCAAGAAGCACTGATTCCTCCTTGCGCTTTCATCCTTAAAGATAGCTTATTTTGGATAATAAAATAGTAAAATAAGCCACCATGCCCCCCCCCCCCCCCAACGGCTCTTGCAACTTGCTTACCTTGAGTGGATACCCCCGTGATAGTGGCGAGGACTATCTGTAGGATCACCCAGCTCTGGCTCATTTTGGCACGCCGCGCGGCTCGCTGTTCCGGGCAAGTGTCCGTGGTCCGCGCGCTCTCAGCAGCAGTTCGCGTCTTTCATCCCCGCAGCCCGCGCTCTCATCGTCCTCCTCGTCCTCATCACACCTGTGGGAGTAGAAGTTGCGATGTGCTGCTCGTTTCAGGAGACTCGGACCACGCATCGAGATGCGCTCAGCGGCAGCGCTTTCCGCTGTGCGTAAAAAAAAAAAAGTTGTGCGTAAAGATCCTTGGTGGTGATGGAGACTTCACCAGATCAGGAGATGCGGCGCGTTTGAGAGATCGGTGTGGCTCAAAGGGAGTCGGTCTTCCCCGGTCTTGCCCGCCCGCTCCCGTTGGCGGATCACCGACTGTCTCGTGCGCAAAAGCCTCAGGGCTCTAAACTCATCATGTGTCTCCGTTCATCCGCTCAGGGAGCCGCGTCCAGATTAACCCTACGTGGGGTTTACAGCTGATGTTTGGAGACGCGAGAAAACGTTTCTGTTCRCTGGTTTTAATCACAATAAGAATCTTGTTTTGTCACAGCCGGGGTCCGCAAAATGAAAACAGAGTTTGCTGCCAAAGTGGAGGCAGATCTAATTTACAGTTTAAAAAAAGTAGGTATAAGGAGGGGAAGAAGCACCCTGATTTTATTCTTATTTTTTGGCCTACAGCACCATCATGTAAAAAAGAAAAAAAGTAATCTCTTTAACTTAAATACCTCTTAACATTATACTGCCTTTGTTAAGTCCTTAAAAACAATTAGAAAGCTGATTAATTTTAATTCCAAGTGGTAAATAAGATAATGGAGTCATCCTCGGCTACTCTGTATTGATTAAAATGTGTGATGGAAAATAAGAAGTTCCTTAACATTTCAATTATGTCAAGAATTTTATTTTATTTTWTTGTGATTTCTTGGTCTGTGACAGAAAAGTGCAACAGCTTTTATTTTAAGGGTCAGTGTGCATGCTTTGGATTTTTAGTGCCCTCTGATGGCAAAGAGGAGTTCAAACGTTAAAGCAGAAGGTGATGACTTGCTTGCAGGCCTGTTGCATCAGAAGAAAGTTTTCTACTTTTTTTGTGCACATGTTTTAATCTGCAATAGCTACAAGCTCTGCTTCTGTGTGTGCTGTAATCTATTTTTGGATTCTTTTTTTTTTTTTTTACAAAAGCTCAGCAGTAGGACTTGGTGCACATTATGTTCCTGCACCACAAGTTACTCCTCAACACTCAGCTCACAGACACGTTGCAGCAAATTGTAACAAGATGTTATTAACTAATACAGAGGATTAGCCATCATATCAATACACAGAGTGTGTGACCAAAGCTCACAGTATCTTGGAGACAGGCGGAGGCTGCAACAAGCTACTGCTGTAAGCATATTTCAGCTCCTCCCCATCACTGCAGCACTGTGATAAGCAGCCCAATCTGTGAGCTGGGGTGGCTCCAGTGTGCCTTAGTGCTGCTGTGGGATAATTTAGATCCTCTCCTATTTACCTGCTCCGCACACACTAAAAAAAAAGAAGCATCCACACTGTATGCTGTATTCAAGGAGGTTCAGGAAGCTTTCCAGCCAAACCTGGAACTAATGCAGCACTGCATTCAAACTCAGAAATTAAGGACTGGTGAGTGCACAAAAAAGGACATGAATATGTGTCGTGTATGAATGCAAATGCACATATTTTGTTTTATTCAACAGTCTTTAATGGGCACTAGAAGCAAAACTCCAGGTTTGTCATTTCAGGTTAAAGAGCTTAAACTTTTTTAATGTCTGATTTTATTTCTAATCTATTAAAATGTCATGCTCTTTTTACACCACCTGTTGTTGTATACAAAACACTTCAGCTTCCAAATGGGTGGGGTAGGAAAGTAAAAGCATGAAGATATCTTCTGAACACTTTAGGAACAGAGAAACAAGACGTGCCTCTGGATATGCACGTCAGGACGGTGAAATAGATGGATGTCATGGCAGGAATGTGCCAGCGTGGGGAAAGCGACCATAAACTGGTGATAGATGTGAGTGCCAGAAGGAAGGGAATGTGTTTTCAGTGTACATCATCCTTCTGGCTGACAGGTAGAGGTAACTTCTGCTGAGGTGCGTTTAGCAACATGCAAAGCTGAAATAGCGTGTAATGTTTTTTCATTTTCATTTTAAACTTACAGAACGCACTGCAATCTACCTTATCAATAACAATAAAACATGCAGATTTGAATGAAGAACATTCATGTGTTAATGCCTGCATGAGCCATGACTTACATGAAATATCGGTTGGCCCTTTAGAAGTTATTAGAATGAAGGTAAATTTTGAGATTTATGATTTAGTGATCTAGGCAGATTTAATAATAATAAAATAATAAAATGACAAGAGGCAAAAGGAACTGGTTTTGTAAAATTAAAATTTGTCTATATTTGAACATTTCTTCAGCAGAAAGGTAAAAGTCTCAAGTGCCTATAAAAGGTTATTTTGGCCATTTTAAAATAGGGTTCTGTGGAAATGTCATGAATAGTTAACATCTTATCTGCTAGCTTTATAAAACACACATTGACCAGATTGCTAAGCTAACAGCTGCCATCTTAAAACAACTTCAATCCCAAACATTGCTAGCACTCTTCATAAAAATATTCAACCCATTCTCACTCCCAAGTCGTCACATATTGACGCTTTTCCAAGGTTCCCTCTACGTCCGATTTTGACGCGCCGGGTACCCCCGTCACGTCAGTTACTGACGAGATGGGGCGAAATCTGTTGTCATATTTTCAGAAAGTGTAGAAAATGCGCAAAAACTACCRTTTCGAAGCCTGAAATTACCTTTGTTCACTTTAGACATCCTGTCCCTGACCCTAGTACCTAAAATTAACCATTTTTAGAAAATGTAGGAAATTCACGTCAACATGTTCCAAAGCCTGAAATTACCTAATATTCACCATGAACATCCTACCCCTGATCCCAGTACCTAAACTTAACCATTAATCCTGATCCCTCATGTTAACCTCAGACCCCCGACCCAAAGACCCCTGGTGGCGCAACCCGGAAAAGCCGCGGGCGTCAAGGACTGACGCGAGGGGGGTACCCGGCGCGTCAAAATCGGACGTAGAGGGAACCTTGGAAAAGCGTCAATATGTGACGAGTCGGGAGTGAGAATGTGTAGAAATATTAGTCTCAACAGTGTCATTAATTCTGCCCCGCTGCTTATTTACGCAGAATTCTCAGGTCACTATGCAGCAGCTAGCTTGTACACTTTTGGTAGAAATATCATAATATTTCTGCAACAATAACTGTGATGCAACTGATGGTGATAAATAAGTTTATATGCAAAACATGCTTGTTGAGACTATGTTCACATGGACTAGCCACAATTAGCTTAATATAATTTGAGCCCAAAGTGGATTTTTGCCATGTTAAAAGGAGAGATACGTACAGCAGGTAAGATTGTTATTGCTTGTAATGTTTACACAAAACATCCCTTTTAAAATAGCCAAAATATTAAAAAGGACACAAAACCTTGATGACATATCAAAGCTGACTGTTTCTCTGTCTTTCTCGTGTTTTTAGGCCGACTGCGGCTCACGTTCTCTGTTAAAGGCATGACTGCGGTACCAGTCTTTGCCCCAAATCTCCTGCCAAGAGATGAAATATTTATCTGAATGGCAGAGTGTCTCTAAAATAATTAGCAAACAAATGGATTATTGCTAAAGAAGCTCTGCAGCACTGTTGCAAAAGGTTGAACCRTCAATGGGAATTTGTTTTTCTCAATATTAATGTGAGGAGGGAATTTGTACTTTTTTTTTGTTTGATCACTTGTCAGATGAAAATGTATTGTTTTTTTAAACTATAACATCTCACTTAACAGAAGCATAATCAAAACTATAATTCCCCAATAAAACCCATCTGTAACAAACCAAAGCACCAGGCAGAAAAGTGGATCTCTAACGGTTCTTTGCAGTGAGACTTCAGATCATTTGAAAAGATAAATAAGCCTCCTGGAAAGATGTTATCTGAATTATAAAATTGACTGAATAATAACTTTCTGCCAATGTTTGCTGAGTGAATTGAGTAAAAACTGCAGCATTAATCAAAATGATTTCCCCTCTCAAAGAGTTGGCTTTCACACAAGTTCTGCAGTCTTAGGTTCAGACCAGGAGAGTTGTTTTGAGTTAATAAACATTGACATTTTTTAAAATAATTCCTCAGCAGATAAATCAACACATTTTCAGAACACGTCGGAAGGTGTTTAATTAGAGAAAACTTACGGCATGCTTGCTTCCAACACTTATCTTAAAACTTTCATGCAATTTGAGGATTTTATTGCTCCTTCAGAAAGATTTACGCAGAATAAAAGGAACAAACTTTCACCTGGTAATGCAGACCTTTTTGTTAAAACATCAGTAAGGTCAACAGAAAAACCTTATATGTTTTACAAGATGAAGCTGAGCACAGCCACAAGCTACTCTTCAAAATGATGAATATAGTCAAATGAGGACAACAATTATCTTGAAGCTACAACTGAACATGTTTTGTTAGAAGATATAACCGGTTCTATAACTTGAACATATTGGGCTCACATTATTTTCCATTATCTAAAGGCAAGAAGACAGGTGAAAGTGTGTGTTTCTGTCTGTTTAGCAGAGGTGGACAGAAATGAAGGAAATTTACTTAATATTCACTTAGTTTTGAGCATCTGTTCTTTAGTGAGTAGCATTTTTAAGAAATGTTTTACTTTTCACTACAGTTTAACAAAATCTTTATTTTTACTCCACTACATTTCTCTAAGGGCTTTATGTCTTCTGGCCATGATTGTGGAGTTTGCTTTGTTTTGTTCCACCAACTTACTTTAGTTCATGGCAGTACTGGTTCTTTGTCCACAACTGCTGTTTATTAGCACAAGAGTTAAAGAACAACTATTGATGTTGACTTTATTCAAGCTTGTTTGCCATAGCATATCAATATTAACAAACACAATAATTGCTCTTACTCAGTCAGTGTTGCCAATATTTAGCTACAATTCAGTGTAGTGCGAGCTGAGTGCTATGATCACATAGATCTGTGTAAGCTTTGCCAATAACTATTAGAGTCAACTTTGTCCCCAAAATATCTCGTGGACTGGATGAATTTCAACAAAACACTTTAGAAAGTAAACCATGAGTGGCATCTATACGGATTAACTGTTCGAGTCAATCATGTTCAAGATTGACATTAAAAAGCACAGAAAAAATTAATTCAGATATTAAGCTAATATTTGATGTCTTGTTACCATATATTGTGTGTTTAACACTTTGRCATGAAACTCTTAAAGGTATCACTGGACGTACCTTTGTTTAAGAGGCCAGTTCAGTTCAAGCTTTTATATTCCTTTAGGTGGAAATTTGGTTTACAGCAATGGTTATAATGGCACCAGAA